TATATATTCTCACTTGGATTACAAACCCTAACATCCGAATACTAATCCCACCAAGTGAAGTGCAAGAACCTAAATCATTCAAGTTACCTTATCACAACCCGCACACCCGATTACCTATATATACATGAACTTACGGTTACAGCTCAACAGCTGGCCTCTGTAGCTCAGTTGGTTAGAGCGCTGCACCGGAATCGCAGGGCCGTAGGTTCAATTCCTACTCGAGGACCTTGTGCTACATTTTTCGCAGTCGTTCCTGGTTAGGTCTGAAAATGTATATATTCTACTTGGATTACGAACCCTAACATCCTAATATTAATTCCACAAAGTGAAGTGCAAAAATCTAAGTCATTCAAGTTATCTTATCACAACCCGCACACTTATGGGCGTCCGAAGCGGACAAAATTATGAACGCATAAACAATAAACCAATACACGCACTAAACATTTGAACACTCGCACTAAACATTTGAACACTCGCACTAAACATTTGAACACTCACACTAAACATTTGAACACTCACACTAAACATTCGAACACTCACAATAGAATTTGAACACTAACAATAAAAATTCGAACACTCGGCAATTGGCATTCCACAAATTCCACAATGGACACACAATATTCGAAGTATCGCACACAATATTCGAAGTGTGCACACAGAACATTCGAAAAAATCTCGTTAATTTATGCAGCTGTTTACATATTTTATTCTAATTTACGCGACGGTTAATTTATACATACCGGGGGAGGGAAACTCTGTTTGTTTACGCGGGAAAGCTGGGAAATACACACTGGAAATATACAACCAAAATGGCGGTTCGATGGTTGCGAATCGGCTTCTATATTCTGTCTTTCTCACACAATTGCCAACCCCAATCCCTGCTGACGAGTCCATGAAGGACGAAACGCCGTGTACAGGGATACTGAAATTTACACACATGACTTTCTCATCTCGCTTTGTATATTTTTAAATACATGCCTCCATACAAGCTTTTTAGTACAGCGCGATCATACTCTTTGGATCTGATCATATTTTTACACAACAGGACATATTTTACTCTTACAATTTCACACATACATCTCCAATTTTATGTTCCACAAGCCTATAACTTACACTTATATTTCTTAGGTTCACATTTATACAAATACAAGTGGTTTTTTTATCTTTTATCCTCAGGTTTTTTTCAAATCACAACATTTTTTCACAGGCATACATTGTGCGAACAACACGAGGTCATTACCCTATCATATTTCACACTACAATTTTCCATCTAACATTTAGGTACTAGCTATTGTGGCATAAAATTATTATTAGGACATCAATATGGTTCTCTATCATTACCTACATCTAAACCTAAAAAAAACAGTTAAAACGTTTTGCGGCTGTGGTGCAGCATTTCTTGTCAAACTTAACGAAATCTTTCCTTTATTTCGCTAGTCACAGAGGAATGCTGCCTGGAATTGAAGGCACTTTGCTCTGCTACGAAAAGCTCTCCAAAAATACTTCGTACTACAGATTGTATTTGCGTTCCGGAGCAAGCACCTGTTGGTTTCTCTGCCATGCTTGATCAATTGAGCGAAATTTCCCAGCTTTCTCGCGTAAACAAACAGAGTTTCCCTCCCCCCGTATGGATAAATTAACCGTCGCGCAAATTAGAATAAAATATGTAAACAACTGCATAAATTAACGAGATTTTTCGAATGTTTTGTGTGCGACATTTCGAATATTCTGTGCGACACTTGGAATATTGTGTGTGTATTGTGAAATTTGTGGAATGCCAGTTCGAAATTCATGCGAGTGTTCGAATTCTATTGTGAGTGTTGAAATGTTTAGTGTGAGTGTTCAAATGTTTCGGTGCGAGTGTTCAAATGTTTAGGGCGTGTCTTGGTTTATTGTTTATGAGTTCATAATTTTGTCCGCTTCGGACGCCCATACACACCCGATTACCTATATATACATGAACTTACGGTTACAGCTCAACAGCTGGCTTCTGTAGCTCTGTTGGTTAGAGCGCTGCAATTCCTACCGAGGTTCAATTCCTACCAGAGGACCTTGTGCTGGTCCCTTTCTCTTCATATGCATGGGTCGTATCCGCAAGTTATAATTAAATTGCATGCAAACGACACGTAATGCTGTTGTATAACAATACTTCCTATAAACTGCTAAGCTGTTTCCTTCTTCTTTGTCTTTTTGATTAACTGAGAATGACGATTGGCCATAAGGCGTTCGTGATAAAGGCGTGCATGATCAACAACGAAATACGAGTGTTTGAGGATTGGTTGATACAAAAACAGAGTAGTAATGAGGTTTCAGTCAGCGTAACTCAGAATTGGTAGGTTGGTCCTTGAGGCAAACAGTTAACCTTCGTTCTTTCTTAATAATGGATTAGACGCAAATAAATTAATATACAACCAACCTGGACTTATAAAATTAATTGACGAAAAAGATTTAGAGAATAAATAAGATTGTGAATACCGAGTAATATTTAGTTTATGGTATATAGTCATTTCTTTGTTTAGCACCACTTCTTCCCCACCCCCGGCCCTCTCCTGTAAGCAATTAATGTGTAAAATGGTGGAGCTTGAAACTTGTATTTGAAAGATAATTATGATATTTTACTGAAAATCACAATACCCGATGTTGCATATTTAAAGAAAATAAAACGTGCAAACAGATTCTTTGTATATAATAGAAATACCCCCCCCCCCTCCCCTTCTTCCCCTCCTAAAAAGTTATAAATTACGGTATGAGTTCTAGAACGTTTACAAGACCGTACGCAGAATTTTTTCACCAGGGCAGTAAGGCCTATATGCCGAAAAACGTCCCAAATATCTGATGAGTAATTAATAATGATATTCTAAAAATTGTGACTCCCCGCTGTGTACGGCCCTGAATGTTTAGGATTGTGATAATATTTAAAGCCTGAAACAGATTTGCTCGCAAACGTTATGCAATTGCTGTAGTATAAAATAACATCATATTTTAATTAATATTTTAAATAAATTATTATTGTAATTTATTTATTAACTTTACAATCATACAAAAACTATAACAATGATTGAAGGTATGCTCAAAAGGATATGAGTCCCATGTGAAGACCAACCTGATACAATGCAATAAGTAGACATACATTAAAGAAAAGGACTATAACACTATTTACATAGCTATATAAAAATTAATAGTTTAGATTATGAGCAATAGCTTAAGTTGAAAGAACGGCATTTAGAGTAGTAGGTTTTCCAAGTGAGTATTCTGTTAACATCGAAAGAAGCGTTTAATTGAGAAGAGTAGTGAGAATGGAGCTAGAACTTAAAGGATGAAACAGACAAACTGTTACGAATGATCGGAGAGAAATTGTTCCATAGAAAGACAATTCGGTTAAAAAAAGAGTTTCTAAAAAGAGAGGTTTTGCACGGGTTGACTTGAAGCAAGTTGTCATTGCATGAACGGGTGCGAAATGAGTGATTAGAAGAAAATGGGACAAATAGGAGATATCTGGGTCGTAGAGGCCTTGTTTGCATTCGGAAAAAAAGATGAGAACCTTTAGTTCAAGCCAGTAAGATATAGGCAATAAATTAAGCTTCCTAAGACGCTCAAGATAAGACAACTTGTAATTTTGAAGTATAAATTTAGTAGCTCGTCTCGGAGTACAGCTGGCAATGTGAGGGCACCACTTCAGGTCATTGCTCACAACCACATCCATGCAGGTTGACTTGATTGGCTACAATCAGTTGGCTTGGAAGTGTCCTGGCGAGGGCTCGACACGGCACATTGCTCCGAATGTTTGGTAAACTCTAATAAAATGCACAGAACATAAAAATATCATATATTTTTAATGACAAACGATGACGAACGAATCCTTGGAGAAATCGGCTACCTTATAATTGGTAATGTACATGTTTTATTTCCTATGGGAATACTTTGTCTTTAAGGTGTTGATTCTGTCAGCGTCTATACACAGTCCAAACAGGGCGTAAGTCGGTCGCAAAACAATCGAAGGTCAGGCTTGAGAGTGTGCAAGTCAAGTCCGGACAAGTCGGAAGCCGGCGGAATGCACTCGGCAGGCACAGATAACAACTTGTCGGACAAAGACGACGGACAAAGACGACAGGCAAGCGTGAAGTCAACGGAAAGCACGCCGCATGCGCGCGAGCCGAAGGCGCTCCGCAGCAGTGGCGAAGATAAGCGGACGGGGAGCAGGAAGTCGGGTGAGAAGCGGTGCAGGAAACGGGCGAGCCAAGCAACCTCGTCGGGAGCGGGGAAGGGGTACCGGATGGTCTTCCGGACGTCCGTCCGGAAAATCGGGACTCAGGGCAAAAATCAAAAATCCGGTCAGAACTCTCGTCTACACCACTAACAAAACCCAACAGCACAGCACAGCACCATCCAACAAAACCCAACAGACCCTATAACAGACACAACAACACAACAGACCCAACAGCACAACAGACCCAACAAAACCAAACAGCACAGCACAGCAAAACCCAACAGACCAAACAACACAACAGACCCAACAGCACAGCAGACCCAACAAAACCCAACAGCATATCAAAACCCAACAGCACCACAGACCCAACAAAGCCAAACAACGCAGCAAAACCCAACAGCACAACACAACACAACACAACACAACACAACACAACACAACACAACACAACACAACACAACACAACAGCACAATACACCCAACAGCACAATAGACCCAACAGCATAACAGACCCAACAAAACCTAACAGCACAGCACAGCACAGCAAAACCCATCAGCACAACAGACCCAACAACACAACGGACTCAAAAAACCCAACAGCACAACAGACCCAACAAAACCCAACAGAACCCAACAGCACGGCAGAACCCAATAGCACAACAAAACCCAACAGCCCAAAAAAACCCAACACACTCGCTCCAGGCTACTCTAATACTGTGCGCAATGCTATTAGTATAGGTGGTCGCATGGGGCCGAGTAAAATTAAGGTTTCATTGCACGCGTGTTTTCAAAGTTTGAAAACACAAGTAAAATTAAACCTTAATTTTACGAGGAACATTGTGATTACTTGTTAATCATATAGAGGGCAAAATGTATTTGTATGCTAATTGTGAACTTGTCAATTTCTTGAACCTCGTATGTGTTCTCGAAATCGTATGTCTCCATGTCTTCGCCTTTTCGCCGATGATTCTTAATGCTGCCCTAGCTGCCAATTTCTTAAATACTCCAACCAATAAATTTGTACTGTTTCTAGTGTTCAAGTTTTTACTAGTTTTTAATTCTTCAATAACATCTTGCTCATATTAACGCCCAAATGCGGCATTATCTACAGATGTACTATAGTGGTAAATCCAATTTTTCGTGAAGTGTTTATCCGCGCCGACAAAGCGAGAAGCCATGGTTATTATTGCTATTTGAAACAAGAAACTTCCCGCGCTTGCGTCTCAGCCAATCAGGTACAAGTAATTTTGCCCTGATTTAAGAAAAAGTGCCCGGGTCATTAGCCGATCATATTAGAGTAATTTTGCCCTCTATATGATTAGCTACAGTAATTCATGACCAAGTGCTTGATGTGTATTTTCGTGTATTTATCTAATACTTTCGAAGGCAAAAATAAAGAAAATAACTATTCGAGAAGAGCGAACTGTGTGCATACAGTAATCTACAATTTCGGAGCACCGAGGCGAGTCTTGATTTTCATTATGTAATCAATTACAGCTGCCCTTTCATACCTACAACTTTGCAGATAAATTTAATGTCTTTAATTCAAACCGCAAATGCAGAAAATATATTTTATTTTCGTTTGAATTTTAGGGTATTGACCCGTATTGTAGATGGAAATTATCGAGAAGATAATAATTTTCATCTTCAATGCCCTTCAACCAATATCATTAGCATAATTTCAATACTAAAAAATGGCATTTCGGCATTCTGATTCTAAGACTGCTCTGAGCAGTAACTATTGTATGCTTTTTCCAAAAAAGTGGCTGAAAATCACACGGAAGCAAATTATTTATACAAATTATATTCATAAAATAAACACGTGTATTAGTTGTATTTACAAATAAAACTTTTTCAACACTGAAATTATAGTAAAACAATTAGTCGCCTCAGGCTCGGTGATTAGAAGCCTATATTTGCTTCGCCTTCGGCTGAATGAATATAGCTAGGCTTCTAATCACCTAGCCTTCGGCGACTAATTGTTAAATCGAGTGAGATGCCAACAAAATCTTGATATTTACCCATAACATATACATGGCAGTACCCTAGTATATATGGATAAACTTGTGGTAATTACAGGGGCCGGTTGTACGAAAGGCGTTTAACTTAAACGGTGTTTATAGCCACTATCCAGCGTATAAATTTCTTATCCAGCGGATAGTTAAACGGCTGATAAAATCGTGTTGTACGAAGCCGTTCAGTACCGCGTTTAACGATCCGTAGGATAACCTTAAAATTTAATCGGAGAAAACCGGATTTTCTTGAAATTTCTTACCTCTATACGTCAGCTGTTGCTAGGCCTTTGTAAACTTTTGAAGCTTTATCTATATAACTTGTGAATTCCACTAAGCTTTTGCAATAAAGTTTGTTGCTGTTTTTATTTGGAGTTTGCTCGTCCATTCATTCCAGCAAATCTATATATCAAACTTTTCATTTTCACATGCTGAGTTTCTCATTCACTTAAATTCATTACGGATATTTCTTTAAAGATTTTTGGCTTCTTTATGCGAAGAGTCGAAGGCAATAGCAAAAACTGTGAGTTGTATTTGGCTTTTGTCAGTTGATTCAGTTTTATACTGTTTGAAATTTGTTCCTCGACCTTGCACTTT